AAGAGAGGGGGGAAGGGGGAGGAGGGGTTGCCACTCCCACACTGGCAACGACCTTTTGACGGCTGGCATGCTTGCAAGGAAACTTTTACAAATGCATTCCCCGCTATTTGGCCTCACAACTTTACAAAGAATCTTCGTAAATTTAGAAAGGTTCGGAGTTGGGCTACCTTTGTATATTCCTGAATATTTTTTTCACGGTGTGGACAGGTTTCAAGTGAAATGGAGCGACAGCAAAGTTGGCACCATTTCTGCCGCGATGCAGTGTGGCGGTGTGATGGGTTTCTTGGGTTGGCGGCATTGAGGCACGCACTCGCAGGGCGCGGGTTCAAGGTTCGTGGTTCGCCTCCCTCATCCAGAAAAATGCTTTCTTGATTTTTAATTTTCTTGATTTTTGTAAGAAACAAAAATCTTGACACAAGAAAACTTTTCTTCACTTAAAAACAAAGGATGGGTCAAGAAAATTTTTCTTAGAAAGAAATCGAGAAAAGTTAGTATTTTTTTACTCAAGTAGTCATTTTTTTGGTGCGTGGGGTTCCATGCCGCCCGCATGGATCACGTGACGCTGTCCGGTCGGAACTCGCAGGGCAGGTCCAATGCTCGAAGGTCTAGGTTCAAGGATCGAGGTTCAAGGTTCGAGGTTCAAAGTTCCGGGTTCAAGGTTCGAGGTTCAGGATTCAAGGTTCAGGGTTCACGGTTCAAGATTCAGGATTCAAGGTTCGAAGGTTCCAGGTTCAGGATTCAAGGTTCAGGATTCAAGGCTCAAGGTTCGAGGTTCGCTCCCTCGGCGCTCATGACCCTCTCCAGTCGGAACGAGCAAGTGCGTCACGCAGAATTCTTACATTTATATTTTTATGTGGGGCCCGCCGGACGTGTCATGACGATGCAGAAATTATTCTGTAGAAAGTTTGCCATTCGAGTCAGGCAGCTCGTAAATCCTGCTACTCAAATTCCTGTGGCGGATAAAAAAGAAATGTAAAGCTATTAATCTTTTTGGTGAAATTTCAGACCAATTTTCTTGCTTCACAATCAAATTTGATCGTGCCAGTTGTAAATAATCTTGGTTGAAAAAAGACACTGTCTTAGGTGTGTGAGTACCTGTTTTCTTTCTGTTACATTTGTTGTTTTCCAAGCACCTTATCAGCTTTGCTGCTGTTTTTCTGCAGCGTGCTGCTCTTAGCAGATGACGTCAAAGATTCGACTCTCCGTCTTTTTGGTCCTTTTTTTTTTGTAGTAAGTGCATAGGTTTTCGATTTCACTGATTGAACGTCTCCTTTAGTATATATCTGAAGATATTGCCTGACTGAGTGCCAAGGCGGTATTGAGATAGCCGTTCGCAAGCCGGGCCGACCGTGCGCACAGTAAATGTCTTACGGTGAAAGGCTGCACCAACATATTATGGTGGAGATTTTTTCCATAATACCAACGAAATTCGTCAAAATATCTATAAGGTACAGTGAATTCTCAATGGTATGTTACGAAGTCAGCTGCACCACCATAATATGGAACATTTTCACCATAATATGGAGAATCTTCACTGTAGAACATTTAGAGTGCGCCACACTCGAGGTTTCTCCCCAGCTTCCGATTCCGATCACACTCACCGAGGCGCCACCGCACTGTTAATGCACTGTCCTCGGCTGTCGCTCCGCAAACGGAAGTGTGTGGCACACTGTTTTAAATGCGTGTGCCTGTCGGTAGTGTGAATGCATTTTGTTCTAAACACAGTTCTAAACAGTGCGCTTTGTGAGCCACTCACTTTGGAGCAGCGTGCCTGACCGAGGCTGCATGTGCATGGGTCCCATAGGCACGCTTTTGAATAACATGCATGCCTGCGAGGCACACACAGTTTTGAAGCAGTGAGCTCAGCAGGCTTACATAAAAAGTGTGCCATGCTCACACTTTCGTTTGCAGAACGGGGGCGGGTCACTGGTCACTGGCTGAGGAAGCCAGCCTCGAAGACAGCCAACGGGCGCGGGAGGATCCACCATTTTCTTAAGGGAGGGCAAAGCAGTGGCTCCTTTTCTGCTTACAAGAGCTAGAAAGGGGACGAACCTCCAATACCGTATGCACAGGCATAACAGCCATCAAAAGTCGTTCCGTGTCATTGCTCGTGCGTTCAGTTCTTCCCCTGTCTTGTTTTTCCCCGCCCTGACCCAACCCTGTACTTTTCTCCCCACCTTACCCTCGAACACACTAAATGTTTTTGTACAAATTTTGTACGAGACATCACAGTTTTTTTGTGCACACGAACTTTTTGTACAATTGTACAAATTGTATAATTTTGTACAAAAATGGCAAAAAATGTGCAGTTTTTCGTACGAAAATTGTACGAAAATTTCGTGTGCACAAAAAAAAACTGTGATGTCTCGTACAAAATTGTACACAACATTTAATGTGTACGGGGACAAAGTAGTGCCTGGTTGCCTATTGCTACCGGCCCATTTGATACTTAAAAGGGTCATTAACCCAATTACCCTTCCTCTGGATCCGCGCCTGCCCGAAAATCCGGACTCTGGTAGCCCGCCCCCCTCTCCGCCCCCTCTCCACCCCTGTCCCCTTCCCCGCTCTCGCTCGAGCCCCTTCATCCTTGCCTTGTCGGGTCGTCTGGTCCCATCGTTTATCGGCTCTTGGTCGTCGCGTATTCGCGCAGAGAGGCTGGAGCAGCGGCGCGATGACGTCAAAGCGGCGCGAGTGTGAGAGCAGCAGACTGACTCCGAGAGTCGTTTTCGTCGCTCTGTCTCTCTCGCACTCATGCGGCGTCCCGTGTAGGTGCGAGAGAGACAGAGCGACGAAAACGACTCTCGGAATCGGTCTGCAGGGACTCTGTGTTCAGTAGCGGGGTCTCATCGGTTACTATCTATCGAAAGCTCTCCATTGAGAAGCGCGCGCTGCCAAGCCGAGTGTGTGGAGCTCCACACTTGAAATGAGGACGTGTAGAATTTGCAGCCTAACCGCTCTTGGAAGGTCTCCACACTTCGAGTGGTGGAGTTTTGCATGTTTGTTTCATTCTAAGAGATAGAGGCTCTGTTTGAGCTACTCTACGCTTGAAGTGTGGAGATTGCAAACTCCACACTGGTAAAACTAAGGCGTACTATTACGCCCTTCGTGAAGCGTACAGCCAGTACGCCCTTCTTCAAGCGTACAAGAGTCCATGCGCTCCTTTCTTCCTATGCATGGGGAAATTGCCTTGAAGCGTAGTTGTACGCTTCAAGAAGGGCGTACAGTCTTGAAGCGTAGTTGTACGCTTTAATGAAGCGTACAACTACGCTTTAGTTTTTCCAGTGCACTCGTCAGGAAGTGAGGAGTTCGCCGCTCATTGCACACTAAATGTTTTTGTACAAATTTTGTACGAGACATCACAGTTTTTTGTGCACACGAACTTTTTGTACAAATTTGTACGAAATTTTGCACAAAAAGGGGAGATTTGTGCAGTTTTTCGTACATCAAAATTGTACGAAAATTTCGTGTGCACAAAAAACTGTGATGTCTCGTACAAAATTGTACATAACATTTAGTGTGTTATAATAGGTCCATGCATGTTCAAACGAATGTGACACAATGCTCAAAGGAGCGTGACATTTTGTCTCGCTCCTTTCAACGCGATGTCACGCTCCTGGAATGAGAGTGTAGGTACTAGGTGTGTTCGCGGGGGTATTCCAGCGTCGCCCCGCCCCGCCTCACCCCACCCCGCCCCGCCCCGCCCGTGCATGCCGCTCGGCCCGTGTCCCCGGGGCAATCATGGCTGGCCGGCACACGCCGCGAGGCCCCGCGTTGCTTGGCAGCGCCAGCACGCCGTCCTGCAGACCGATTCCGAGAGTCGTCTTCGTCGCTCCGTCTCTCTCGCACTCGTGGGGCGTCCCGTACTGGTGCGAGAGAGACAGAGCGACGAAGACGACTCTCGGATTCGGTCTTCTGGCCGCGTCCCGGGAGACGTCGGCCTTTTTCTCGGAACGGCGAATGGCGGAACAGAAAATGAATTAAATGCGCCGCGCCTCGTCAGAGTAACGTGACGGCGCCCATGTCGCGATTTGCCGATTATGCTAATGCTGAGGCGCGCCGAGTTTTATCGTCGCCTAGATCCGCCAGAAAGAAAGGGGGAGGGGGAAATCAAACTGGGAGGATGTACCCCGCACAGTGGGCCAGAAGACCGGTGGTGGCGGTCAAAATCCCGGACGCGTTTTGAGCTCCAGAGTCGCTAAATGGGACTCGAACCGAACGTGTGACCCCATCAATTTATTGCCCTCCGAACGAGGAATCCATTGGTGGGGTCACACATGTTCGGTTCTAGTCTTGCCTAGCGACCCAGGAGCTCAAAACGCGTCCGGAGTTTTGGCCGCCGGCGCCGGTCTTCTGGCCCACTGGGCAGGGTGTCCTGGAAACACTGGACTGGGGATAGATAGGGGGCGAGGTCCGGGGTGAAAAGAACAAAAAGGGCGAAACAATGTTGATCATATCGGTAGGGCGGAGACAGTAAATGAACCCGTGAGAAAAGGATGCGTGCGCAAAATTGTGTGCTGCCACGCACCAAGATGGAACAAAGGAATTGAGTGTGAAACGAAGCCCCTTTCTGCTTAATCAACCCCCTCTCGGAGTGGAGTGGAAAATTCACTCACTCACTCACTCACTCACTCACTCACTCACTCACTCACTCACTCACTCACTCACTCACGCTCACCCATACACACACCTACACAATCATACACACACGAGGTGAGGTGGAACCGCACACAAAAACACCCACACTCACACGACCCGAGCAAAACATCCTGAATGGGGGTGGGGTTGTATTTGAAATAAAACGCGCCGCACAACATTTGCCGCGACGACGGTGTGCTCCTTGGCCTTCACCTTGGTGATTCAACGTCAGACGGCTGGAGGGGCGGGCGGGGCGGGGCGGGGCGGGCGGGGCGGGGCGGGGCGGGGCGTGCTCTAGAGGCTCGCCGGCCGTTGGGCCCCGTAGCGGCCGGCCACGGCTCGCGGCTACTCAGTCAGACCGGCCGGCCCGCAACCCGCGCATGGTGGACAAGTCTACCCGTGCCGCCACGCCGAGGCGTCCCCAGACACACAGTGTCCCTGCAGACGTCAGTTTGGCGCGCGATCGCTCTCGCGAGTATCAGTGACGCCGCGAGGCGGACAGTGCGGTGCCGACAACCCGTGAAGTGCAGTCGGAGTGAAGTGCAGTGGCTTGCAGTGTAGTGGCTTGCAGTGCAGTGGCTTGCAGTGTAGTGCAGTGAAGTGCACCGTATTGGCGCGGGGCGCGCGGCGGTGAAGTGACTGATGGATGAGGACGCCGATGACCCGCCCCTGCCGCCTGTCAGTGTGTCGTCGTGTGTGTGACAGTGTGCGTGACAACAGTGTGTGTGTCGGCGACAGCATGGATAACGCTGGTGACCTGAACCTGCCGGCCTGGATCACGGAGTGGGTGGACAGTGTGGTGGAGGGCAACGCGCCGCCCCAGCGGGCGAGCGCCGCCACGAACGCCACGAACGCCAAGCACTGCGGCAGCGCGGAGAGCGTCCCCCATGACGAGTTTGAGTACGTCTCCCGCGGTGCGCCGTTTGCTGTAGTGTAGAACCATCTCCTGGGAATTGTACGACGAGGGGTCACACAGTGGGCCAGAAGACCGGTGGAGACGGCCAAAACTCTGGACGCGTTTTGAGCTCCAGAGTCGCCAAACAGGACTCGAACCGAACGTGTGACCCCACCAATGGATTCCTCGTTCGGAGAGCAATCCGTTGGTGGGGTCACACGTTCGGTTCGAGTCCCATTTAGCGACTCTGGAGCTCAAAACGCGTTCGGAGTATTGGCCGCATCCACCGGTCTTCTGGCCCACTGTGGGTCACCCACTCGTTGGTGTACACACGATTCCGGATTCCCACGATCCCCGAGCAAATCCCACGAGAAAAGTGCGGATTTTCGACAATTTTCCTTATGTTTCTGAGTGTTTTGCTTCACTGCCACAATAATAGAATACCATTCCATTGAAACTGTGAGGACTTTCGATGAAATTATGAAAGAATTTGGAATGATCCCTGGAATGGGTGTGTACACACGATTCAAATGGGTATCCTCTCAGAAGTGGTCGATATTATTGAAAATCCCAGGAGATGGATTTACTGTGGGGTCCAAAAAAAAAAAAAAAAAAAAAAAAAAAAAAAAAACATTGGCCAAACAAAACTTTAAAAAAAGTTGATAACGGCGCTTTGGCGGCTTTCTTTGTTTGTCCTTCTCTGTGTTCATTGCCATGTCAAAGGACCTGCGCTGACCTGCGCAGTATTCAAAAGCTTGAGGGAGGGACAGCTTTGTGACTCACGCAGTCGAGTGGGGTTGAGGGGCGGGAGTTGCGCGTGGGCAGGGACGTGAACGTCAAATCTATAATCCGCATTTAGTCACTCAATGGAGACCACCTCTCCTTCCCCTCCCCTCCCTCCCCTCCCCCTCCCCTCCCCCCCCCTCCCCCCCCCCTCCCCCCCCCCCCTCCCCTCCCTCCCCTCCCCCCCCTTTCCCCCTCCCCTCCCTCCCCTCCCTCCCCTCCCTCCCTCCCTCCCCCCCCCCTCCCCTCCCCCCCCTCCCCCTCGTCTAATTCCATTCCAGTACCGCCATCACCATGGACGTCACTCAACCGGAAAAGAGTGTCCCCCATTTTCAATGCCCCCTCACCTTTTTTCCCATTGCAAAACTCTCTGAAAACAGGGACAGTTTTCGTCGGTCAAATACCATGAGGATTCTCAAACCCAAGGGGGCACGCCGAGTGAAAAGTGCAGGTGGGTTTTGAAATCAACCCAAAAAAGTCGAAACATTGCCCGATTACAAGTCAAGTGTTGTGACGCTCCCGGGACACGTTCTGACATGTTATCCATCTGTCCCTAAGACAAGCATTTGCGTGTTTTTTTAGAGCGTTAGTAAAAGTTCTCATCTGACCCAATTGAAAGCATGCCTTCTACACACTAAATGTTTTTGTACACATTTTGTACGAAACATCGCAGTTTTTTGTGCACACGAACTTTTCGTACACATTTGTACAAAATTTTGCACAATTTTGTACTAAAATGTCGAAAAATGTGCAATTTTTCGTACGAAAATTGTACGAAAATTTCGTGCGCACAAAAAACTGTGCTGTCTCGTACAAAATTGTACATAAGATTTAGCGTGTATTAGGTCGGTAATACCTGAAAATTGGTTGAGGTTGTCCCAATCGATTTGCGTTGCAAAGGCGGTGAAATCTGTACAGCCTTTCTATTGGCAGCCAATTTACGGCCACTGAAGGGTGGCAACATTGCCGCCCTTCCATTTACAGTGTAGTCTTGGTGGGTGCCGCGGCCACGCCCCTCCCGCGCCTCGCGCTGCCGGGACCGCGATGCACCGGGACGCACGGCACTGCATCACTGTGAAACACAAAGTGTGGAAATTTCCACACTTGAAATGCGGAGTTGTAGAATTTGCAGTCTCCGCTTCAAGTGTGGAGTTCTCCACGTCTGCACCATGCCAAGAGATAGGGGCACTGTGAGCTGCTCCACGCTTGAAGTGTGGAGATTGCAAACTCCACACACGGCCAAGTGTGGAGAATCACTCTCCCACCAGGAAGTGTGGACTTCTCCACACTGGGTTCCGCACACTGTAAATGTTGTACAGTGAAGATTCTCCATATTATGGTGAAAATGTTCCATATTATGGTGGTGCAGCTGACTTCATATCATACCATTCAGAATGCACTGTACCTTATGGATAGTTTGACGAATTTCGTTGGTACTATGGAGAAAATCTCCACCATACTATGTTGGTGCAGGCTTTCACGGTAAGGCATTTACAGTGCAGTGCGTCCGGCCGCCGCGGTGCACCGGCGTGCACTGCCCTGCAGGGCCACGCGCCGCGACCTTATCCGCCCATCGCCTATCTCGGCCGCCGTGATCGGGAAGGCGACAGCGCGACGGCAGCCGTACAGTTGACCGATTCCGAGAGTCGTTTTCGCCGCTTTGTCTCTGTCGCCCCGTGAGTGCGAGAGAGACAGAGCGACGAGAGCGACTCTGGGTGCGCCGTGTGACGGCCGTGTGACAGGCCGGCGCCACGTGCTGGGCCGAGGCGCCGAGGCTCGGACGCTCCTTTTCGCTATCAGCGCCTCGAGACGGGCGGACACACAGTGTGTCACACCGGACGCGCGGGCCGCGAATTTAGGTCGTTATGTGAAGTTCTGCCGTGACCCCGGGTCTGTCGGTTGGAACCCTTTACTCGAAGCTGGCGCTCCCCCCATGCGGGTGGCACCACTATGCACCAGCTGCCGCCCCCGTTCTGGGGGCCGAAGCAACTCTGCTTCGCCCGCACCGCCTGCCGCCAGGACCTCTTGCAGGCCGAGGCCGATGCCAGCAGGTAAGGGGACGTCTGTCTCTCTCGCACTCTCTGGCAGTCCGCAAGGGGCAGCAAGGGCAGAGCTATGAAAAACGTTACGTACAAATGTTATGTACAACTATTTGTACGAGACATCACAGTTTTTTCTGCACACAGAATTTTCGTACAATTTTCGTACGAAAAACAGGAAAAGTAGCGATATACATCGGCAACTTTGGCCCGTCCCGTGCATTAACAAATGTGTGAATTTCGCCTTTGTTTAACCCTGACGGGTTTGAACTTGAGTCTGGGGTCAAAATAGATGTTATTTTCGTCATCAGCAGCCTCACAAACATAAGAAACAATGCAAAAACTCGAATAAAAAGAATGTTCAAAATATACCCCACTGGGATTTGAACCCGTGTCCAAACTTCTCCGATTCGCTTGAAACTGGCACCATTGGTTTTGTCTCGTCGCCCCGATTCCAAAAATACCCCTACATGCCCTGCTAGCTGTATCCGTTGCCGAAATCCTCCTCGACCCCATGTAGACCATGATGCACCTGCAGCAGCGCCCCCGGGGCTCGGATCGGATTTGCTGCCACCGGGCGGTTCTTAGGGTCACCCAAGGAGGCTGCATAACAAATTTGGTCAAGATCGGACCACGGGAAGTCCTCGGACGGACGAACGAACGGACGAACGAACGAACGGACGCACAGCATGCATCATACAATATGCCCGTCCCTCCGTCATTTTTTTTACAAAAAATAAACGGGACGGGCCAAAAACTGCACACTTTTCGCCTTTTTTGTACAAAGTTGTACACAATTTTGTGCAACTTTATACGAAAAATTCGTGAGCACAAAAAGAAAAACTGTGATGTCTCGTACAAAATTTGTACAAAAACATTTAGTGTGTAGAAAGTGGAAGTTGGTACACCGCGTGAACTGCGGACACGACGCGGACAAATGCGGGCATCGCGTGGTCGAAGGTTTGCCTCTGACAAGTGTCATCGGTCAGGCCGTGCGTTTGCGCTACTGTATATCGTGCGCTAAATTTTTACTTGCCTCTAAAAGTGCACTGGTAAAATGCAGCGAAAACTTGACCATACCATGTCGTTGGTATTTTTTCATACCGCCATTTTCGCAGCTTTTTTTTCTTTGTTTGTAGGGTGTGTAGATGGCGGGCTCTAGATTTTACCGTCCATAGAAATGGCGCACAGACTTCACCGCCCTTGCAAGGCCGTGAGTCGCCGCCAATAGATTTGGAGTGTACTGTTTTGATGACGTCTGCGGCGCACGTTGTCGGTGAACGCTCCCTGACCTACGGTTGCACTCGCCAGCCTTTGGCGGCGTGTTGGCGGTTGTCCAGCGCTGCACTAGAAAAGTTTCATAGTGCACTGTAAAAACGGTTCCTGGTTTTCGCAGGAACTCCCTGGAAATCGCCTTTGCCTTGACCGTTGGCTTCCTGGGAAAACCAGGTTCCGTTTTTACCGTGTGGAGATTCTCTTTACTATGGTGAAAATTGTCTATAATATGGTGCTGCTCACTTTATAACGTACCATATAGAATTCACTGTACCTTCTAGATATTGTGACGAATTTCGTTTATATTACGGAGAAATCTTCACCATAATATGGTGGTGCAGTCGTTCAGGAGTAGTTCTCCACACTTGCATGGCGGATGCGTGGAATTTTCTGTTCCCACACTTGGAAGTGCAGAGTTTGCAGTCGTGGAAGTACATCGAGTGTGGAGTTTTCCACGTTTGCACCAGGCAAAGAGACAGGGGCTCTGTAAGCTAGTACTCCACACTCGTAGAGTACTGGAGTGTAGACTGCAAACTCCCCGCGTCCAAGTCTGCAGACTAAATGTTTTTGTACAATTTTTGTACAAGTCATCACAGTTTTTTGTGCACACGAACTTTTCGTACAAATTTGTGCAAAATTTTGTACAATTTTGTACAAAAATTGTGAAAAATGTGCAGTTTTTCGTACGAAAATTGTACGAAAATTTCGTGTGCACAAAAAACTGTGATGTGTCGTACAAAATTGTGCACAACATTTAGTGTGTGGAGAATCACTCCGGACCAGGAAGTGTGGAGTCCTCCGCACTTGATTTGACAGTGGAGGGTTGCGAGCCAGACGGAGTGAATTGGATTCTTGTCCCCGTGGCGATCTGCCGCGACGACGCCCTGGAGGCCTTCTGCGTCTCTGCG